CTGTTGCTCCAGACACTGCGTCAATCCATCTTCCCCAGGGGCCTCTACTTGACACAGCATGTTGTCCTTCTCCAGGACTGCTCTTTCCTAACAACAGGTCCAAAGTGCGTGGGATGAAGTCTTGCCACACTTATTTTTAAGGAGCATACTAGCTGTACCTCTACCGAGACAGATTGGTTTGTTCTTGGACAGTGCGTGGTAGTTTCAATATTCTTTTCCAGCACCATGATTCAAATGCGTCCATTTTTCTTCAGTCCTCCTTATTCAATGTTTGACTTTCATGTGCATATGAGGAAATTGCAAATATTATGGTCTGGATCAAGCAAACCCTAGTCCTCAAAATGATATCCTTTCCCCCCCAAAACTTTAAAGAGGTCATGTGCAGCAGATTTACCCAATGCAACGTATCCTTTGACATCTTGATTGTTGCTTCATTGAGAATTGATTGTTGACTCAAGCAAGATGAAATCATTGATAACTTTAATCTTTGCCCCCTAAATCATGATGTTATAATTGTCCCAGGCGATCAGAAGTTCAGCAGATCTCATTGGTCAGAATTATAGCAGATCCAAAATCTCTTCCAAGTCCATGAGTAGACAAGTCAAAGCAGTATGAATGTTAAGGGTCTGGCTTGGGGTATCAAGAGCCTATGTTGAATAAAGTAGATACATTTATTGGGAACAAATGAACCTCTTATTTAAATCCACCTATATCAATCTCTTTTGAAGATCTGCCATTTGATAGATACATTTATCCTGTGTTCTTTTCGTGTACAATCTTTCTAGTCCAGAGTAGCTTGTGTGTGTTTCTGGACCCTTGCTGAACTCAGGCATTCTCAGCACACACAATGTCGGCATGATAGAAATGCACCCCCCTCCATGTGCTTTCACCACTATCATTGCTATTCTGATATCTATCACTCTTAAATTTCAAAGATGCTGATTTCTTCTTACAATAGTCTAAGTAATATTCATTAATATATAATGTCTTACTTTTAATTTACTTTATCCATCTTATTTATTGTTTTGTACTATTCAGCCAGCGAATTTTACCATCTAATTCCTCTTCCTACCTCAATCTGAACTCTCTTTGGTTTATTTTAAAATTTCAGAGATTAATTTACCCAGTTATGTTTTGATCTTGTTCTTGTCTCTCCAGCCCCCACCCCCATGGGAAAATGAACAAATATATTATATATGCAGATAAAAAGCTTTATATAAGAAATCAGAAGTATTAGCTATTATTTTTCTAAAATCCCCATAGTGGCAATCTTATCTCTTTGAAATATTTGTGCAACCCCATATTAGTGTTTTCAGTCAAGGAACCTTAATATTTAAGAGCTTTTTCTTAAGACAGTAGAATAATAAATGACAAGAATTTTCAGCCCATAAAATAGGGTGCAGAGGGACCTACTACCACCAAGAAAGAAGGATCAGAAACAGAAGACATTATTGGGATGGGAGGTACCTGTGCTGAGGACCTCCTAGACCCAGGGGAAGATTGGTGTCAGGACATGTGGAGAGAGCTCCAAGGAATGCCAGGCCCACAAATGAGATAAGATAAGGACTTGAATGAAATGGACTTCCCCAGAGGGACGAAGAGAAAGACATACGCTAGAGGTGGTGACCTGAACACAGATGTTGTATTAGTCTGGGTACTTTGGAGAAACAAATCTACAGCGACTCATGTATAACAGAGAGTTTTATGTAAAGAAAATGTGCATCA